ATTTTCCTAAATGTTGCACAAAAATCGCATCGGCACAGGTGAAAAACAAAATTTTTGTGAACGGTTTGTTACATAAGTCAAATATACGTATTCTTGGTTATTTATAAAGTGCTGGGGGCACGTCTGAATTTCATTTCTTAAGAAAATATTTCACAAGAAATTCAACTTACCCACATATTAGGGAGGAATTTCCACTCTTCAATGCAGTTCATACAAAATGGGATAAATTACATGCAATCCCCCAGTAAAATTCAGTTAGAGGACATACTTCTCTGGTAGATCTATCCTTATAAATCACTTGTGCCAGTATAGTATAATATGTACACGATTTATAAATTCTAACACTGTCTACGGAGGTGTAAGGGGAAGGGGGGATTTCACATTCGTATTTTTGTTATTGTTTGAACATGTTGAATACGTACATATCAGATAAGACAAAGTAATAATGATTTATTTTGCAAATGTTCACTATCATAACAGCACATTGAAGCTTTAAACAACAAATATCAACTTAAAATTAATTCAAGATGTCATGTTAAATGTTATGACACTTTCCCGGTCATGTCAGCTCAAGTTTGCAGTTACTTTACGTCATATGTTATTAAGACATCATATCTATGTTGTACAGAGAAGTTACTACGGCTGGTACACTGTGATATTTTTTAAGCCGCGCAAATTAACTATTCAAAAATATTTCTATGTAAGCTTATGCACTGATACATAATTTGGTGAGAATTTATCAACTGTGTGTCCAATTATATTCTTTTTATTATTTAAATTTCCCAATGACCTTTGACTTTACTATTTATTGAGTTTTAAACTCGGTTTTAAAGAAACTATTTAAAATTTTCCGCTCGGCTATCAAGGCAAGTCAAAAAACTTGCTTTCGATGCCGATGGAATTCTCGCGGCGCTGCCCTACACTACACGGTCATGGAGAATGGAAGTGAGATACAGTTATTTGGACATTAGTTTTGTTAGAGGATTGTTACCAATACACGTTGTAATGAAATTAATTTTTATTTATAAAGCACATTTTACAATAACTCTTAACTCTATGTTAGTTAGGTATAAATTAAATTTTTTTTTTTTTTTTTTTTTTTTTTTTTTATCAGACACTTACATGTAAAAGAAACTATGGCAAGGATAACTCTGTAAAGAAGCAATGTGACGTGTTTTGCGTATTGTTCCCACAAGTAACAAAATAACATCAGATTTATAATTCAATAACTGAACTAGAAATAAAATATCTATGTAGCTTATAAAAAAGGAGTAAAAGTGAATTTTGATTCTTCTATGTTAGTGTTCTGTTATTCTGCATTTCGATTATTTGTATTTTGTCTCTATGTAAATAGAAGTGGGGGGGGGGTGTTACTGATAATCAAGTTATACATGTACTGTAATGAGTACCAATAAAAAAAATATATCAAGAATTTGATTTAAAACTAAATACATCCCTTTCAAATTTCCTTTGGCTCCCCACTCGACGGTGACCGTTGATCGATATCAATGCAAGTGTCTCCTTTTCATGCTGCATTGCTTTGAAGACGACATGCGCATATATTCATAGCTGACGTGGATAAATTCTATATGTAAATCATACACATAATATTATATCCTTATTTTCATAACTTTTAGTTTTAGGGAATTATGCCCGTTAGAGTGTACTACAAGCTTCTGAATCCCTTCCCGAGAATTCGTGTGAATTTCTTGTCGAATTCACTACACAGATTTAGGCATATAATTTTCGATTTTGTTAATCAAATAATGAGTATGTACATGCAAAGTACTGTGTTTGTCTCTAAAATTAAATTATTAGCATTGGCTATATAAAATATTTTGTTCATCGAAAAGTGGATCTAAACAAATCGCACACCCTTTTTCTTAAGCCTTCGGAGATTCACGGTTTTTATTTGAAGCAAAATTTTTCAAGGTCTATAACTCAAGTTATGATAAGGCCATTCCAAGTTTTTTTTCTATGTGCAGTGTATGCGAACGAATTGGTTTTGAGGTTATGAAATTAAAGACAAACACAAATTAAAATTGATAAATACAAAGCTTTGAAACACAAAGTTAACTCAAATTAAAATCAACACATACGAATCTCTGAAATGCATTTTACTCTTTTGGGATTGACATCTCTCTTTTTTAAGTGGAGTATTAAATTTTTTATTTCAATAAACTAGTAGTTTAACTAAGTTTTATGGCGAGGAGAGGTCTCAAATAATAATAAGAAATTCTAGGACTGTTCTGAAAATGCTGCGTTTTTCCCCTTTTGGTTTGTGTGTTTTCTCAGATAGTAAGATAGGTTTTCGAATTTCGGATGGAAGCTAAACAAAGAAAAAACTTGGAATGGCCTCATCAATCAGGACTCTTATAATCGGTCTCATCTTGTGGTTTTAACATAGAAAGTGATTGTGTGTAGGTATATTGGGGATTATTCCTGGAAAGTGTATTTTACATGAACCATGCAGTAAAGTGGATCCACTGGAATGAATAAATAACGATCTATAAAAGAAATCCTAACATCAAAGAAAAAGAATTTAACGCAGTTTAAGACACCTCGTAACCTCGTAATAGTGAGTAATTTATACATTTATCCAAAAAAAAAAAAAAAAAATAAAAAAAAAATAAGAAATTAATAGCGCTGCCATTTAATTTATTGTTTAAAAGGGGAGTGGTGTTGATGGCTTTTTCATTGCCAAAAATCCAATTTTGAGTACTTTATATGGGACGTTCCAATTTTCTTTTTCATATTGATTCATGTATCTTTAAAAAAATTTTAATGTAACTTCATAGACAATGCGGAAAATGATTGAAGAAATCATTTTTACATAAGGGAATGATAAATTTGATACGAGCACAATTTTAAAAGAAGTAGTACCTTGTCTCGTCTGTATGGATGAATCAAGCTCATTACTTGTCTCATGAAATCGTTTGTAATAAAATTTTATTTTCCTCTAAATTATTATACTCCTTCCAGCTATCAAAGATACATTACGATGAATTGAAATAAAAGTTCAAAATTGTTTTCTGGAACATAAGGCAGGTTAAAGTAATTAGTTTCCTGTTCAGAGAATTTACAGATTTCTTTTAACGTAACGTTAAAATCAGTAACGCTGTGATGACGTTATCACGTCAAAATTTGTAATTTCTAAGGAAAACTCCCCATTTTTCGAGACGTCTGACGGAAAAAAGGTTTGTGATAATTAAAAAAAAAAAGATTTTGAAAAGATACATCGTAGGCATGTTTGTAAAAAACTGAAATCAAATTTGGAGACAGGGCCGCTCTGTTATACGTTACGTACCCAGTTCTTTGTTCTAATGGTCCCTCGATCAGTTACCGTAGTTCTTTCAAAATCTTCTCAAGAAAGGAAGAACTGTACTTTGCTAATACAAGATATTAATAAACTAGAGGTATCGTGAGCAATGAGCTCAATAAATGATACCCCCACCTCCCATATAGTTATAATGGCATAGTCCATGTTTTGCTCTGGAAGACCCTAAATAAATGTCAGATCAAAAAGTAAAATAGGAGGTGCACAATGGCATTATGTAATAAAGATTTGTGAAAGTATCATTAAATTTTATTCAGTGGTATAGGAGGAGTTGGGGATAAGAGATGGGTACCCTTCAATATTATAGAAAGAATGGCCATGTCCATATTTTGCTCTGGCAAACCCAAAATATGTATTCGATCCAAAAATAAAATAGGAGGTGCACAATGGCACTATGTAACGAAGACTCTGTGAAATTCTCATTTAATTTCATTCAGTGGTATAAGAGGAGTTACGGATAAGAGATTAGGGACCCCAAAGCGTAACAGACGGATGTACAGACAGAACGGACGGACGGAGGGACGTACAGACGGACGGACATCCCGATCACTATATACCCTCCCACTGTTCAAGCGGGGAGTATAATAAACACCTATAGTGCATACATGGTGAAGATATGTGGGGTTACAATATGGGATAAAATTTTGACATAAGAATAAATAGGGAAACTCAAAATCCTCGTCTCAAAAACAGGACTACTACATTTATCACCATGTAGAGAAAGTTCAGGTTTGTTCAATACATTACCCCCTCCCCCATATTAAGCATGGAAATAAATAGATATATGGGACAGAACAGAAGGACTAGTTATATTAATATACAACCATCCTCCATGTAGTGAAAATTTCTAGTTTATTTTAAATCAAGGTGCCTACCTTTAGCCTTGATATACTTGATAAAATAATTACAATTGCTGAAATAATTTAAAAAGTTGGTGGCTACTTTTAAGCTTTCAGTGATCAACATTTTTATTTGTAAGAAAGGTGACCCAGGTGAGTATTCCTTCCCTTTAGTCATAAAATTACATTAATATTTATTATAAAAGGAATTACTCTCATGCAGATAATTGTCTTGGTGTGTTTGCATGTTTATTTAGATTTTTTATAAGATAACTCTTGCTCTTTTATAAAGATGGCCAGTTCCACTGAAAATCTTGAAATATGCTGAAAAACCAGTTGACTGATGAGACAAGATGAATTGGTTGAACTATAATAACTTAGAAGAACAAGAAACATTTCAGATTCTTTATTTATTTTACTTGATAAAAAGAATAATGACATATTCATGAAGTCTATACATTTGCATATGATTCTTTTCTAGTAATAGGAACTGTAGAAGAAGCATGCAGTATGCTTACAAAGTTACAAGTATTTTTCTAATCTGCTGATTTTAATTCAGAGAGTGGTAAGCGGATATATGTACCTACAAACTTCTCTTAATCAGGTGAAAAATTTTTCTTTATAACTCTTGAATATGACTATATTGTTCATTAAGGTATGTCACTCGTCAGCCTTTTAGAAAATTTCAGTCAGAACCTCTTACTTAAAAACTATTTATTACAATTCAATCTTTAAAACATATTTAAATTAAACAATGTAAAATGTTCAACATTCAATTAAAAAACTGCTCAAAAATTCACAAAGAAGCAAGATTTATAAGGGACTATTTCTTGTGGCGGAAGGATATTTAGCAGAAAATTCTGCAAATCTACACATTTATTAAATTTAATATCTTGGAACTTTAGCCTCACGTACTTTTACTCAGAGAATATTTTCCGTTATGATACGCCTGGAATATTAAATATAGGTCTCAATTTATATTTTTATAACAACATTTACACCTTCGCTCAACAAACATTGCCAAGAAATGAAGATATATTAAGGAAGTCGAGATAAAATTTACACAGTTTTTTGCCTGAAAATCGCATATTTTGACCAATATTTCAAAATTTACATCACTGACCCCAACTTTTTCTTTCATTATTTTAAACTACTCGATACTTTTGACCGATCAGCATTTCAGTCATAAAAAGTTTGATACAAGAAAATATTCCATTGCCTATTTAGATTTTCAATACCCCAAATATGAGACTTTTTTTAGTGCAAAAAGGTCACACAATAAATTACGCGCATTAATTTGCATGATTTGTTCAATGATAAATATTATTCAAACTATTTTACGTAAAATAAGATTATGTTAATTGCCATAGTTACAACTTATAAAATATGATAACGGTTAAAGTGATTAACCAAAGAGTTACAATTTAAATGCAAAAAAGTCAACTTAATTGTACCGTAGCTCAGTTAGATGCACACTGCCCCCCCCCCCCCCCCCATTTTCTCTGCGATTTTGAGTCATACTATATGAGTACTTATCCAAAATATACTTCTCAAAAAATCCTTGATATAACAAATTTCACGAGTGACATACCTTAAATAATTACTTTAAAATTAAAATATCATATTAAATTTAATGAAGTAATTCATACATATATTGCTAATTTTAGTGCTAGATATAGTATTAAATGTAACAAATAAACATTTCAGAAGAAAGTAAACATTCATATCATTGATTTAATTTTCACATACATATACTCAGTAATACAAATAAATTGTAGGTATTAGTTGATTATACTTAATACATGTACATTCAAGCTCTCCAGAGAGGCTAGCTTGAAAATTGATATTAATTAAACTAACAACTGTTAAAAGTGTCAAAAATATGACAGATACAGACCAAAACATTATCTACAGTATCTGTTTATATACAAGTGCATAGACCATGTCCTAAACTTTAAACAAATAGAAGTTATTTCTAAGACAAGAGGCCCAAGGGCCTTAACGGTCACCTGAGTATAATACAACAATTTAGAGATCCATAGAGTAGAAAATGAACTGAAAGGTGAAGCTTTCTTGCCCAAAAGCAAGAAAAATAGGGTGATCAGGATCAACAAAATAATTAGTATTCATTAACAGTTCATAAATTAGATTCTAATCTGTTCCCCATTTATCATTATCACCATACAGTATATTAGCAATCTATCAGTGTTTCTGTATTATTTTAATTCCTTGTTGAAATCTCTTAAATTGGCTTCTCTTGATCTTTGATGAACATTTCAAAAGACAAGTTATTTTTGTCTCATTTTTATTTATCTATTACTTACAAGTATACCTGATCATTAAATCTATGAAAGTACTTTTTGTATTATACAATAAAAATTCTTGCGTAATTCTCTTGTTCTATTAACCTTTCAAGTACATTATTTACAGTGATTAATTATCAAAAGTAAATGGCAAAGGGGAATAACTCCTCTCAGTAGAATACAAATTAATAGAGCCCTGGCCAGGACCAGAACACTTGACCAAATGGTCCAGATGTTCAAAAATCTGGTAAAAATACTCTTCCTTATTAAAACTTTTACTCGTTTTGCCTCTGATATGCCCAGGTGCAGAGACGATTTTTAAAGAAATAATGCATTTTTTATTCCAGATTCACTATATCAACAATACAGCCCCCCCCCCCCCCCCCCCAGCGAGAAACACCGGATCCTCTCACCCTGGGACCAGAAGTTTGCTCATCATAAGTAATCACTTTGTGTTAATCTGCTTAACACTGCAGTGATTTTTTTAGGGCCGATTTGGGGCCGATATTCGGCCCCAGTCCCAACTGAAAATATGCCTGTATTTCCAAAAATGTAGTGGAAGTTTTCCCAAAGAAAAACTTACAAAATATTTGATCAAATTCAGTTTGTTTATTGCATGTTTTTCAGTGAAGTTAAAGCAGGTTTTGTTGTTCAGCCATGTTGGATTTCTTCATAATTAGATAATTCATACCACTATTGTTCTTGATGCAAGTAATTAGATAATTCATACCAAGAATAGTCTTGGTTTGTTATAACAATTGTTTGTTAAATTAATGCAAAGACAAAAGCAAAGCTTTTTGACAAGCTTTTTAAGTGACTGGGTTTTCTGGGAGATTCCCAATTTAGCCTAAATGACGCTGAAATTCCCAATTCTGAGGGCCTCAGCCCCCAGTCCCAAAGTACTGAAAAAAAACACTGTAACACTAAGAGTAGACAGGATTATTTAATAGAATTAATGCATTTTCACTATATTATCAAGAGCCTCACCATTACACCAGCACATCTGACCCAGGGGTCATGCAATTCACTACTCTGGAAGAAGCACTCTTGCTCATCATAACTATACACTTAGCTTCTTTGCTTTTTAACCAGGAGCAGAAAAGAATATTTTCAAAGAAATTTTGCTTTTTCACTATATAATCAATAGAGCCCCCCCCCCCTTTTCACCAGAACCGCTGACCATTCGGGCTATGAATTTCACAATTTTGGTAGAGTCACCTTTGCTTATCATAACTATGTATTTAATTTGTTTCAATAATACCCAGGAGTAGAGTAGAAGATTTTCAAAGAAATAATTCACCTTCACTATAGGATCTATATGCCCCACCCTAACACCAGAACCCCTGATCCTTGGGTCATGAATTTCACAATTTTGGAAGAGGCATCCTTGCTTATCATAACTATCTATTTAATTTGTTTAAATAATACCCAGGTGTAGAGAAGAAAATTTTCAAAGAAATAATGCACTTTCACTATATGATCTATATAGCCCCATCCTAGCACTAGAACCCCTGACCCTGGGGCTATGAATTTCACAATTTTGGTAGAGTCACTCTTGCTCATCATAACTATGTATTTAATTTGTTTAAATAATACCCAGGAGTAGAGAAGAAGATTTTCAAAGAAATAATGCACTTTCACTATATGATCTATATAGCCCCACCCTAGCACTAGAACCCCTGACCCTGGGGCTATGAATTTCACAATTTTGGTAGAGTCACCCTTGCTTATCATAACTATGTATTTAATTTGTTTCAATAATACCCAGGAGTAGCGAAGAAGATTTTCAAAGAAATAATTCACCTTCACTATAGGATCTATATGCCCCACCCTAACACCAGAACCCCTGATCCTTGGGTCATGAATTTCACAATTTTGGAAGAGGCATCCTTGCTTATCATAACTATCTATTTAATTTGTTTAAATAATACCCAGGTGTAGAGAAGAAAATTTTCAAAGAAATAATGCACTTTCACTATATAATATGATCTATATAGCCCCATCCTAGCACTAGAACCCCTGACCCTGGGGCTATGAATTTCACAATTTTGGTAGAGTCACTCTTGCTTATCATAACTATGTATTTAATTTGTTTAAATAATACCCAGGAGTAGAGAAGAAGACTTTCAAAGAAATAATTCACCTTCACTATAGGATCTATATGCCCCACCCTAACACCAGAACCCCTGATCCTTGGGCCATGAATTTCACAATTTTGGAAGAGGCATCCTTGCTTATCATAACTATCTATTTAATTTGTTTAAATAATACCCAGGTGTAGAGAAGAAAATTTTCAAAGAAATAATGCACTTTCACTATATAATATGATCTATATAGCCCCATCCTAGCACTAGAACCCCTGACCCTGGGGCTATGAATTTCACAATTTTGGTAGAGTCACTCTTGCTTATCATAACTATGTATTTAATTTGTTTAAATAATACCCAGGAGTAGAGAAGAAGATTTTCAAAGAAATAATGCACTTTCACTATATGATCTATATAGCCCCACCCTAGCACCAGAACCCCTGACCCTGGGGCTATGAATTTCACAATTTTGGTAGAGTCACCCTTGCTTATCATAACTATGTATTTAATTTGTTTAAATAATACCCAGGAGTAGAGAAGAAGATTTTCAAAGAAATAATGCACTTTCACTATATGATCTATATAGCCCCGCCCTAGCACCAGAACACCTGACCCTGGGGCCATGAATTTCACAATTTTGGTAGAGGGCTCAATGCTTATTACAATAATGCCAACAGTTTGACTGCTTGATGTCCAGGAGTAAAGAAGAAGATTTTTAAAGATAGCACTAATTTTGATAGTTTTAGCCCCAACCCTCAGGCCCCAAGGGGGCAGGGACCATGAAATTCACAATTTTTGTACCACTTCACCCATTGATGCTATATGCCAAAATTGGTTGAAATTGGTTCAGTGATTCAAGAGGAGAAGCTGAAAATGTTCAAAAGTTTACGACCGACGGACGACTGACGACGCACGACGACGGACGAAAACAGATAGCAATAGGTCACCTGAGTGACTCAGGTGACCTAAAAACCTGCAGATGGTAAAATCATTAGGTTCATTATTTTGTCCCTATATAATAATGAAACACCGTTTCATTGAAATTATACATTGCTCTGAGAATATTATGTCATGGTATTGATATATTCTATATCTGTGTGATAAGTTCACTGGAAAGAGAAAAATATGAATATATATATATATACCTTACAAAAATATGTATTATGGATTACAACAAAACAATTCTTCTGTTTTTTTTATTTTTACTAAATTAAATAGAGTCAAAGAAAGGCAAAAATCATGGACCTCGAATGATACATCAGGCCAAAAACTGAAGGGAGAGTATCATTTATATTGAAGGACAATTTAATGTCCATGGCAACTCTTTCGTCAAACATAGAAATCACCTACATCAGTATAATGTATAGCTCAGGTGAGTTTAAAAGTAGTCTCTATTTATAAAAACATATACACAAATATACATCTTTATTCAAGGTATTTAATTTTCTTAACCTTTCCTCCCCACTCAGCAACAAACAAATTATTTTCCATCACACATAAACCATATGGATTCTTCAGATCACAGTTATCTATATAACGGAGGAACTGTCCATCCTGGTCTAGGATGTGGATACAGTTGTTATCACCGTCTGCTGTCAGAATCTGACTCTGACTGTCTGTTGTGATGCCACGGAGTTTAAATGGTTTAATCTTTGTAGTAGAAGGATGTCCAGTGTATCTAAATCGGAGTTTTCCAGTCTGGTTAACCACAACTACAGCACCAGCTCCGCAGTCTGCCACACAGATATCCAGGTTTCTGTTCTCACTGATGTACTTAATTTTGCTATTTCCTGAATACAGAGGTTTACCCTCATCATCAAACTGGATTGTTTGTTTCTCTGTGGAGCCTGAGTAATGGACAACTTTGGATTGTGTTTGATCATCACTGTGCATGGTAACCAGGAGATCACCAGAGGAGGTGACACAGAGTTGTTGGGGTACCCAGTCCTGTAGTCTGATCACCTCCTCTGTCTGTACATTCTTTACTTTATTCACAGTCCTTGCTTTCCAGTCAGAGTACACTAGATCCCCATCATTTGTCACTGCTATATCATTTGGTGCTCCCCCTGATTTTGATTTGATTGTCTTGTTAAGTGAGCCTTGAATGTTGAAGCATTTCATTTCAATGACTTCATGTCCACTTGTCCAGATTTCTTCTTCACTGGGACAGGTAACACTGCGGAGTTTTTTATTCCCAGTGTTTATAATAGTGACAAGTTCTGGTTCTTCCAGAAATTCTCTGGTTGATGTCTCTGGTTTCTTCATTTTGTAGCCATTTTCTTCTGTTGTCGTAGATAATGGTTCAATAGTTCCAAACAACTTGTAAAGCTGTTCTCTGTCTACTGGTTTTGTACTAAACATAGGCAGTGATACCTGAACTTTGGAAGGAAGTTTGCTGAATTCTTTATTTCTAGAGCTGTATTCCATGGTCATGGACACTTCATTTGATTCTTCAATTTTCTTCAAGTTGGACAGAGTTTGTTCAATAAGGGACTGTATTCGTTTGACATCCTCTGCATGTTTCTTCAGAATGTCAATGTGTTTTATTTTAAAATCCTCAATTTCTTTTTTCATGGCATTAATGACATTGTCAATTTCTCTGTGCCATTGTTCCCCATGTTCTGTCACTGTTGCTGTAAGTTTCTCATATTCTCCATCCAAGTCAGCTATCTGGGTTTCTATGTCTTTGGTGATTTCTTCATATGATGGCGAGATAATATTTTGTACTTCCTCTGTATCTTTTGCAATAACATTTTTCTTTGAGTTGTAAATTTCTGAAAGGTCTGAAAAACTGTGTCCTTTATGTTGATTTGATGTAAAACATGAAGAGCAAACAGGAATATCACATTCCTTGCATTGTAATTCACAGGTTTTTGATGGATGTGTTGCACACTTTGGATAGATCAAGGTTGCCTTTCTTTGATCGAATGGGACAATTTTATGCTTGTCATATTCATCAGCAATGTGTTCTCCAATACAGTGTTTACAAAGGTTGACATGACAGAAATCACAGTACATCTGTACTAGAGCTGTCTCACATAGGTCACATCTGACCACATCCTGGGCATTGAGGTGAGGGTCCATGGTTTCTGTAGAAGTTCTATCAATAAAAAAAAGAATTGTTTTGACATTGAAATTAAATGTCCATTTAGTAAATTATAATAAATACTTTTTCTTTGAATTATAGTGAATGAATACTAACATAATATTACTTCCTTGTTCAAAAAGTTATTACATTTATATTTTAACGTGTAGGCCCTACATGTTACTTAAAAATCATTTGTTCTTAATTCATCACAGTTAATTTGGAAAGTTTTTTGCATATCCATAGTTTAATGAACTTTGGCCTTGTCGTGATAAATCATAAATACACAAACTGAAAGTAAAATTTGCCACAAACGTTTTCTATATAATGATAATGAATTTTCCGAATTTTCTACCGAGGTAGGAAACTTGCCTTACAGTGATGGAATGACATTCATCAGTCTTCTTCTGTTTATTCTTTTTTTATTCTGTTAGACCATGTCTCGCAACTAGCACAGTTACGCGTTTGCTGTCGTTCTCAAAATTAGAGTTATCTCTCTTGCATCAGTGCATAGCTATGTATGGCTCGCCAAATACACAAAAATTAGATAAACATGATTTTCCAGTTGATAAACTAGGTTTGTCGATTGTAGACTTTAGTATACGAACTGTAAACTATAGTTAGCGATTCGTTAACTGGGTCATTTTCAAAAAATGTCCAGTTTTTGAATGGCACATTTTTGAAAAATGAAAGTGGTTTTCTATGATTTTTTTCCCCACCTTTATTTGAATAATACAGTATTAAACTACAAAACTCCATCAAATTGCAGAAAAGAAAATATATTATTTGTTTGTTTTTTTTATTTTATCTTTGACATTCAAAATTTAATGTCCTTCCTGTTACTTTCTTCAAAAGATTTGTAAATTTCTTTCTTTCAAAATATCTACAATTAATTTTTTTGTATATTGTCAAAAAATTGAAAATTCATAATTGAATGCAAGGATGCTTGACATAAATCCAGTATATGAGTGTTTGAAAGCATGGCAACGTACCATATACTAAACAGAAACAAAATCTAAGGGTTTCTTTTTATGACAGTCTTATGAAAGAATATTTATAGTTGAGAAAAACATACTTGTATATTATTTTGGTGAATAAATCAACAATTACAGTAATTTGATTACATAGGTGCTTTGTCAAACCAAATTAACTAAGATATTGTACTGGTAACAGTAAGGACTCGGGGTAACAGGAAGGACAAAACTGTAACAGGATTGACAAAGAAATCGAGAATTAAGAAAAAAAATCATCTTTTCTAACTCATATGGCTTAGAGAAGAGAAAGACATGTTAGATAAAAAACATTATATTGCTAAATGTGGTAAATTCAAGACATTGGAAGACAGTAATGTCATTACTGTTACCAAAATTTAACTGTAAAATGCTATTAAAATATATATAACAGTTAATTATTTTTTCATGATAGGCACTCCATGCTGTTGCATAACTAAGAGATTTTCATAATTATAGGTAAAACAAATGATAAAACCAAAATAGGTATACATGTATATATATACAACTTTTATAAGGATAATTTGTCCTTCCTTTTACAATTTTTGTCCACTCTGTTACCAAAGTGCATGTTTCTGAAGTAATGGCACTATTTGAAGCACAAACATTTTTCAATATGATTTACATCATTTTTTGACAAAGGAAATTAAACTTTAAGGTATGAGGTTCAGTTGTCCTTACTGTTACCATTTTAAAGGTAACAGGAATGACAGTAACAGGGATGACTTTTCTTATATAAATCCCATGTTTCTTAGTATAATGGACTCTTTCTGCGTCATCGAGATATTGAAACCATTTATTTGTAACTTGGTTCATCTAATTGTTCTAGCAGATGAAAAAAATAGAAGAGTTCTTCATTATTATGAAGGTAACAGATGGGACATGTTTTCTTTAAACATTTCCAATGAGACAAACCTATCGACCACTGTACCCTTTCATTTTTCACTTTCAAATCATTGCGTTCATAAATTTGATACAACAGAAAATAATGAAATATTTAAGGTCACGAGAAGAGTTCTTGTGAAAGGGGGGTCACTTTTGTTTTAGCATTTTCTTTTTGGTAACAGGAATGACTTAACTGGTAGGACATGTCATTCCTGAATGTTTCATGCACAATACAAGTACATGTATTTAGTGGGAAACATAAGTAATTTATCATTATTAAATTAATCTATAAATGAATTCAATATGTTGTACAAAATTTGTACATATTAGCAAAAAATAACGTTTTTCCTTTTATATTACCGAGCACATTATAAAATTCCTGATAATGTGACACGGCTTATCTATATATTTTGAATGAGAATACATACGATAATTTCACTAAAATGCTTGGGAGATGATTAAAACATAAATTGTAAGCTGTATGATCATGAACATTAATCGACGAGAAAAAGAAATTCCTTCAAATGAATATTTTTTCTGATTAGAAAAAACAAATGTGGACCTTTTTTGAAAATGACCCAGCTATACTTTTCATCTGTAAACTATATTTAACGGTTGTAAAGTGTAGTTTATGAGTGCTATTCTAAGTTTATCTGTTTGTAAATAAACGTAAACAAAAGATTTTACTGATAAATATAGATTCTCATTTGTAAATCATAATTTACATTCGTTAGCCGTAGTTCAGAGTTGTTTATCATAGTTTTTACAAATTGTGAAGCTATATTTATCAGATAAACTATGTTTTACATTCTTTAATTATAGATTAAGGAGGGATTCTTGTCTGGATTCTGATTAGATGAAATATTCAAATTATATTTGCTTATATGTTATTTATTCAAATCCGGACTATATAATAAAACAATTATGGACGACCGGTCACACCCGCCGTGTGCTCCTTGTCATGATCGGGAAATACCGGAAAAATCCGTCGACAATTTACTGTGTAAATAATACCCTAACAATTAGTATGAAAAACGTCAGTCAGCATTTGACTCAATGATAAATTGTATTTGCTGACAAGGTCACTGTATCGACCATAGAACTTACGAAATGATGACGTTAAACGAGACAGCTGATATTCTTGTTTCATCAACTTGTTTGTCAATAATTTACCTCGTTTTAGAAATTGTACATACGTAGAGCATGAAAAATATGTGATTGAAAAGCTCACTTAAGATTTCAGCTCAGATGGCTAAGAAAGGTAAATTATGCATATGTTGATCTTGTGTACTAGTATGCCCGTATATACTCGCCTATTAGTCGGTTTTTTTGAGAGTGAAACTTTGGGCCAAAACTCTTTGTCCGACTTATAGGCGAGTAATAAAAATGCTGGTATTATAGAGAACCACTCCTTCTGATTTAAGCTTACAAAATACAACTGACTTATAGGCGGACCGACTTATTCGCGAGTATATACGGTACTAAAAGCGGATCAAAACTGTAGTAGGAGTAGCATTTTGGAATGTTGTTCACAGGCAAGCAGAGAAGGGATAAATTCTTCTCAACCTTAAAGAGCAGAGCCTAGATTTAGCATTCTACATCAATATGAGCAGCTTTCTAAGGTAGTGGTACTAGTTCTTTGCCAAACAATGGATGGATCGTAACATCACATATTTTCCAAGTTCAATTTATTAAACATACAGAGTACTTTGAAGAAAGTGTGGTCAAGTGGTAAAACTCAGAAGACAATGAACCAAATGCTGAAATACTGGTTTTCATTGGACCTATTTACTTTAGAGGTAAGAAATGATAAAAGAAAAATTTGTAATGAATTAAACACATCTAAAAATGCTTACCTAATACATTTTATTGAAACATTTCTCATTGAAACACTTCACAGTATGATGCATACTCGTAATAATTATATGTAAAATTTACATACAAAATTGTACAGCCAAGATTCAATCAACATGTTGGATTTAAAATTAATGATAAAGTACTACATATTAAGAAAACTTGGGTATACTGTGTACATTATAATACTTGAGGTTTACTCTTCTCTGTATTAATAAATAAATTTTCATTTTATACATCTACCAATATCTCCAGAAATAAAACTCGCAAGACTGGAACACAACATACACTTTTAAATGTTTGCAAACAAAAAAAATCCATTATTGCACAATCACAGATTACATACATCGTAGTCCTAGCAAGTAAAACTTCAGTAATTATCAGTATACAGCAGTTTTGTACATATTGTGTCTGATACCCTACTGTCCTACTCCATTTTTATATCTCATATCCACATACCAGAGAAAACAGGAATTCATACTGATTGTAATATACAAATCCTAACTCAATAAATTCATCCTTATGGAGTAACTTTAAAGCATGTGTACTGCAAACGTTATAACAGGGGATGCTCTTTTTTTTAGGAAACACAACAGTCATTTAAGCAAATGAATTTTTAAGTAAGTCCATATGTTGTGCAAGTGAACAAAACAATACAATATTCACATTTATGAAGTATGTTACGTATATATGCATATCCATTACACAAATGATTTTGCATGATAGAAATTTGTTGAATTTTGTTTAATGTTTATTCGGAAGCATTCTTGTTTTGTTTTTATTTAAAGTAATTCCTTACAAAATGTGGAGTGAACATTTCCATCGTCGGAGATGAGGTCCACATGTTCACGACTATTAATATTGAGGTCAACTGGAATATGGAGCCTCACATATTACAACAGGGAAATCGATATTAAGTCTTGGAATAGGAAGTTTAACTTCACCCGAAAAAAAATCAAGACAAAGATTGAAACAAATTACTGGTGTTATAGATCGAAAATGAACAGACCCCAATTTTTTTTTTTTTTTTTTTTTTTTTTTTGGGGGGGGGGGGTGTTCTGCTATAAATACTGTAGACTAGTGGTGTAGCGATATTCACAAAAAGTTGTACTGTATCAAGGTACAAAACATATACCTATATATCACAATAAATAACATTTTAAGCAATTCATGCTATTTCTTTTTAATTTAACCTTATAAAGGTGATTTTCTTATTTTTACTATGTGTTTATCGTGTTCATGGGTATTAAATGTTACAT